CACCCCTAGACACCCTAGTACACAGAACCCTTCTGGGCTGGGCTCAGTCCCATCACTCCTAGCTGGGAATTCAACTGGGTCTCACCCACTTCTGTTAGAGCCCCTGGGATTCCCCCTCTCCCATGTCCCCACCTCTGTTCCATAAAAGGTAAGAATCCCTAGAAGAGACTGGAGAGGTTCTTCTAAGGAAGTCCATCTCAACATTCCTTTTTTGGAGGGAGCCCACAGGACCTGCAGAGCTGGAAGGAGCCCCTTGGACTTCTTGTCAGAGGCCGATGATCCCTTCTCCAAGGAGCAGAGGCCTTCATCCTTCTGCCAGCATTCAGGAGAGATAGGTCTTCCCTTGAATGCTCAGGTGAGGGCTATGGTAGGTGGTAGGAGCAGAGCTGAAGGAAAGGAAGGCCCACCTTATCCCCCTTTTTTAAAATCAAAGTTTCTTTAAAGTCTCAGCCCAGGTTGCCACATCAGGGAAGTGCTCTTTGACCTTAGGTCTCGCAGTCGGGCTCCTTTGTTTCATGCCCTTAGAGTGTTCTGAGCCTTTATAACACTTATCCGAATTTGCTGTTGAACCCCTCAAGTGCTCTGAGGACAGGGACTGGTCTGTTTCTGCTTACACACTGCATTCCCAGCACAAGGCAGAGGGTTTGGCATGTGGAAGACTCTTAATCTTGGTGGCCAGCCTCAGACTTAGTAAAGGGCGCTGGCTAATGAGAGGGTGGATGTACCAGGAAGCAGGATCAGCACGGGGTGGGGGCGGGGGGTGTATAAGTGGTATGTTTGGGAAAGATGGTTTCAAGAGGGAAGGTGGGAGAGAATTAAACCTGAGGTAGTATGCTAAGGATTTTGGATTTTGTCCTCAAACCTAAGGACTTCCTTTTTAGGATTCCCATCCCTCTCCTGCCTAGATTTGAGTTTGCAAAAAGGCATCTGTTGTCACAGTGGAGGCTAGGTGGGAGTAAGACTAGAAACAAGAAGGGTTCCGAAGCCAGACAGGAGGGTCTCTAGGAGTGAAGGAAGGGACTGAGGACTTAACCAAATCCTTATGAGTTAGGGGTTGAACACCTCTTCCAATCCATCTTCTCTCTTCTACCTTCACTCCAGAGTCTAGAATTGCACTGTATATAAAAATTACTTAATGACTGAGGCCTAAAGAATTAAGCTCAAAAGGTTGGTGACAAGGAAACATGGGAGTATGATTATAGTTCAGTCCATTCTTCCTAGTGAGAGGTGGGGATGTGGCATTAAATTAACACCGGGAACAGATCTTACAAGAAATCACATGCCATTTTTTTCTTTTCTCTCAATAAAGATTCAGTGTCCATCTTATTCAGAAATCTGAGATCTAATAGCTCCCCCCAGGAAGCAGATCCTAAGGCATTCTGTTGGGTCTTCCCTGGGAGATGGACTGTGGGATTCCCTAGGCTTTGTGTGCTTTAGCCAATGTGCAGAGTCAGAAGCTGTGGAAGTGGGCGTGGTCCAGGCAGGACTCTTAAGAAATGCAGGGAGAAGGCAAGCTTCTGGCCTTGCTAAAGGATTTAAAGCAGCATTAGGTGATAGAAATAAAAGTTGACCCAAGGTGCCTTTTCTGAGTGTTTTTTTACCAGGAGGAGAATTTCATATGAACTAGGGTCAGGAGAATGTATTGAAATGGAACCTTGAGGCTGGTTAGCTTGCCACAAGATATGAGGGCTGAAGGAGACTGTATTCCCTGCTCACACTTGGGTTATAAAGCCAGAGCCTGCTGAGAAATTCCATTCTTTGCTGTAGTGGGAGAGGGAATTCTGTGTGCCTAGGAAATGGCAGATAAAAAAGGGGTATGTGGCTCCCAGGGAGCCTCTTCCAGGCCACCCAGAACTCCCTTTGTATTTCTTGGCCCTTCTTGGTGCCAAGTGGAATTTTCAACCAGAAGGCTCAGACCAACTCTGGACCTAAGTACATTAGGATGAGGGAAAAGGTCAGGAAGGCCTAAGTATGAACTTTAGTAGGTGGGATAGCTATGGAGGAATGAGCCTTCCTGTTCTTTAATACAAATCCCTAAGATGTCCATTTTCCCCCTCTGGGAAGGGGAGAGGTAGGGCGAAAAGTACTAGCTTAGAGGCCATTTCCTTCCTCTTTGCAGGTCTCCTGATAACAGAAGCCTTGTTGCTTTCCCTCCTATATTTCTCACATGCAAGAGATGAGCCATTTCCCCAAGCACGTAATTCTCATATTGTACATCTGAAGACTCTGGTTTGTGGGCCAAGACTGTTATTAAAAGTGTAATATATCACCACCTTTAGCTCTCATGGTCTCTTCAGCCCTGTTCTTCCTACACCTCTCACTTTTCTCATTCACACTGTCAGCACAAACTGCTTTCCCCTCTAGGACTTCAAGACCTCACCATCCTCTGTCAGGATTTGCTGTGAAATGAGAAAGGGAAGAACCCACTAACCTGCTTAATATTAGGTTTTGCCCACATCAGGCACCAAATAAAACCTTATTTATACTTATATCCTTCCTGAGGACCCAGCCCCCCAGCTTTTTCCGGGAAGGGGATAATACAATTTGTTTTTTAGCTAATTTCCATTAAAACCATCACATCCCTCACAAGTGAAACTGGCTCAATACCATTTTGGTTAGGTTCTTAAAAAATACAAGAAAGCCTTCTTTAAGTATTTTCTCCTTTTATGCCTAAAAATGTCACCTTGCAGCCTATCTCTCCTGATTGGGAAAAGAAGTTGCACTCGTGTTTTCATCTTTCCTTTGGACTTGCTACTACTCTTTAGGAAGGAGCGGAATTCAACTTGCCTTTGCATAGAACTGTACATTTCAATATGATTTGATAGCCACTCACCAAGTATAACTATTTAAAATCAATTAAAATTAAATACAATTAAAAATTCAGTTCCTGTGTTGCACTAGCCATATTTCAATAGCTCAAAAGTCATATGTAGCTAGTGGTGCCTACTGTATTGGACAGCATAGATTTAGAACATATCCATCAGTGCAGAAAGTCCTTTTAGACCTGGTACAGATGACTAGTACTCCTGCTTCCCCCTGTAATCTCATTTTATCAGTTAATAAATATTTGTAATAACTTCACTGTTACAGGGTAACTTTCAGAGGGGGTCAGGGATTGGAGGTGGGAAATAGCAAGGAAACTATAGGTCCTATAAAGGTTTTAGGAGGCATGGCATAGTGGCCAGAGGTTGATGGCCAATAGCAGGGGAGTCTTAGCTTTTAAGGAAGTACTTTAGGGGCTGATGTTTATGTCTATCAACTCAGGGCCACCCACACTCTTAAGTAGACAGGCTCTGGTCTTATGTATTAGTTCTGCACAATACTTAAAAGACTGCCCTATGGTCTTGCTTAAACTGAGGAGCTAAAATGACTGCCTTTTATTTACATTTCTAGATCTTGATTTCATATGCTGCTTTGTCATTGCTCTGTTATCCCAAGTGGCAGTGACAGAGGCAGCTCTAATGTTTAAAAAAGGCTTGTTGACCTTGCCACCTGCATGCCAAGAGCTGGGAGAAGTCTGGGTCCTATCAATTAACGTACTGGTGTTAAGACTACATTTAGTAAGGGCCCAGCTAGGTGAGAGTTTTCTTCCACTGAACACTTTTGAACACCTATGCCAGGCACTGGCTGTAGGGCCTAAGTGAAGTGATCAGTGGCTATGACCAGTTTCCCTGAGTCTAGACCAGTGGTTCTCAACCAGGAGTGATCTTGTACTCTCTCTCCCCTGACATGTCACCTGGCAATGTCTGGAGACATCTGTTGTCACAGCTGGTGGAGTGGTGCTACTTACAGCTAATGGGTAGAGTCCAGAGATGCTGCTAAGCATACTACAATGCACAACCCTCCTACCACCACCAAAAAATTATCTCACTCAAGTGTCAATAGTGCTGAGGTTGAGAAACCCTGGTCTAGACCACAACATGGACCAGTTATTCATTCGAAGACTAATCATGAGGTCCAGACTCAGTAGGATAGTAAAGCTAGCAAGTGTCTGATAAATTGGGAAGAAAACAATGAGGAGTCGATAGAACAGTGGCCTCCATATAGCTAAAGGGCAGGTATAACTAGAGTGTGTTTAACTATACCAGAAAGCTAAGAGCTAAGGTCATAGTGCAACTGGAGTTGAGGATTTCAGATATGTAGCAAGTCTGTGTGAAGATGAGTCCCCGGTACAGCCACAGAAGTAGAGAGGAGCAAGTTTAAACAGTCTGACTTGTGATACAGCAGTCAACAGCCGAACCTAGTAGGGAAGACATTCAATAAACAGATGAGCATCTGGTGGATATGGATATACCAGTTTCTCTCAACATTTTTGTAACCCACCTCTACTTATATATCTAAAAATCTTACATTCTCCTTCTAGTGATATTTAAATTTTCACAACTAAGTATCGTGACTAAAATTAATCCAAAAAATGGTAATTTTGGAAGGCAAAACTTTATTAGATGATGTGATAACCATGTCACAGTTACACCTTAACTTTTTTTCCCGGGTGGTGTAGAAGATGCAACAAAATGCTGTTTTAACAACACTCTTGCACTGCTTCTCCTCACAGCTAGATATAGCAGGAAAAAAAACCCCAACCTTTTATAATGTAAGGGAAAAAAATGGAATAACAAATGGAATGAAGTATTCTATCTGCTTAGACGTTTTACACCCAAACTTCTCTAGAGTATCTGGAAGTTGCTAGTAAAAACAATCAAGACTTTGAGTTCCACAAAATCCTTCTTAAGTTCTTCCAGTGAAAACTGAACATCAGTGTGAAACACATTCTTCCCAAAAGCTACCAAAGGTAGGTCTTAAGAAAAGGGTCAAGAACACATCTCCCAAAAATAGTCCTGGATATTTTGCTTTTTTTCTTGAAATAACATTCATGAATCAAAAGACTGACCAAGAAAGATAGACACTGTTAGCATGGGTTTGCTCTCTGTATCTGAATTTTTGGCAAGTTTTGCTTGAAGTATTTCATAATGAGCAGTGACATTGGTGTTTGCTCCTTGGCATTTCAGGGTCAGTGTATTTTAAACTATAACGTGTTAAATTCTGAAAGTTTTAGTTTTTAAAGTACAGATTCTTTTGTTGGTGTTCCAAAATCAGGATTGTTCTATCATTGGCGTTCCAAATTCAGTTGTTCTGTCCATAAATTCAGCTGAATTCAGTTCTTTGACAACCAGGGAACCTCAGTATGTAACAGAAAAAACACTCCAAATAGCATTCAGATCTTCAAAACCCAAGGCAAACTGGGATCAAATGTACTGTTTTTCATACATGCTGACAGCAAGGCTGAAGATTTCCTGTAGTCTGTGGGCAGATCGATGGAATTCTATGCTTGGCGTTGACTGTTCCAGTACATCCTGAATGCCGAATTTCTTCAATTTTTGCCAAAACAAAACAACAGATCTAAAATATGCCATTGCTGTAGTACCATCAGTGAATACTCCTATAATTTCCCCCCAAACTCAGTTTATTTAATACAGCTTCAAAAATATTGTCTTTAGTGGTCAAGTACTTGGTTTATGAAAATAGCACATGGTTTTTAAAGCCTAATAATTGTGATCAAAAGCAAAGCACAATTTTCTTTGTCAGTAGATTCATCTTAACTATTAGCAAAGAAGGATGAGCTGATGTTTTTTAAAACCTGAAGAGTGATATGCTGTCATTCATTAATTCATTGTTAAGACTGCAGAAGTAAGTGAAGAAATTCCGGTATTCCTCAATTTCCTCTTAAAGTTGTGGCAGTACTTGGAATGAAGGGTTTCACAAGTTTCTCCATTTTTTTCTCCTTTGCAATTAAAAGAGTTATTTAATATTAAGCTTTCATGGCCTTTGAAGATTCCTGTTAATATTCCAATACAGTCCAGTCTTAAAGCTGCAGAGAATTGTGCTTTGTGGAACACTCTACTGTTTTTAATGGTATAAATTTAACAGTGTTTGGCATGGTGTCACTGCCCAACACTTTCAGATAACATAACTGGAGGAGAAGCTGACCCTATCTTCTACATTGTAACGTGAATATATACTTGATAAAAACCTCAAAAAGGAATTGGCTGTCATCTTTAGCTATGTCAAAGGACAAAACAGATAAACAAGGAGTACTGATGATGGAAGCATCTGGTCCCTCTTGCAGAGCGATGAATGACTTTACAGGTGGCACCTGGGTGGCAGGGCAATACAGGCATCCAGTTATGCCTGATCCCCAGTAGGTGAAATTCTTTGTTCATTTTCTTTTTATACACCCATCTGCCGCCTAAAACCTGACACCATTTAATGGTGCTCTTGGTCAAATCTAAAATGATCTTACTTTCATAATCCTCTGATTCTAGCTTGAAGAGTCAAGACGAACTCTAACTCATGGGATAGACAAAAAAGGAAGATGTAAATAAGTTTTCAGAGCTAAAAAGCCTCTTATACAAAATTAAACTTTAAAAGAACATTGACCTCGGGGGTTGGGGGTGGGAAGAGATTAACCAAAGAATTTATGTGCATATATGCATACCCATGGACAAAGACAAGGGGGTCATCTGTAATACTTTCAACAATAAAAAATTTTTAAAAAGAACATTGACTTTGAAACAATATAACTGTCCTGGATATGCAGTAGTATAAATGAACACCTGTAGTTTCTTGCTCTCTCTACTATAACTCCCCATACCCTGCAATGCTGATATAAGTTGTGGAGGGAGGGGGAGAGAATGCCATTCTCTCCTATTCCTAAAAATCACTGAGTAACAGCTGTCTACTCATAGCCCCTAAAACTAAAAAGCCTAATCACTCCAAAGTAGATAAAAAATTTGTGTTGAATTAGTAGCTGACAATAGAGAATTCACTGTAACCAGCACTGTGATTGATAATGTATAACATGTTAAATAAACCATTATACAAAAATAGTTCCTTATATAATGTTAACTATTAGAAACTTCTTCAGTAAAATTCTAAATCTTGCATTCATTGAAAGGAAGTTACAAAACTATGTACTGTATAAAGAGTGAAAGAATATGTCAGTTACTATCAACTTACATAAAATAATAATTTTTTCTCTTCAGTGTAATTCCTATATTTGGCAACACCATCTACCTAAGTTCTGGTGTATGTTTGAAAGTAAAAGTTTTCTTTTAAATATTCTATATTTCAAAAGAGATTATCCCCAATTTCTTTAACTTGATTTGCTGTTTATAAATAATTTTCAGGTTTCAAATGAGTGTTTTATCTGATCTCCCCAGTTGAAGAGACCATCTCTTTTCTCTTGTTTAAATTGGCTTTTAATTAAAATTCCAATTTCAAATCCTTTCCAGAAAAATTCTAGCAGAGGAATGAAAGGTTACCTTCTTTCCTCAGCTTCAGTGTACTAAAACGCAGAAGTATAGAATATAGTTTCTTCTGTAGACAAATTTAATTATTACCCTAGTGGAAAGCATGGTGCTTGGGTTTGTCCTTAAAGTCAGGTTAGTATGATGGTTGGTAGTGATTTGTAGTTAAGATTTGTGTCTTAACTGTGCACTTACCAAGTTACTATAAAATGGGGGTGATGATGTCTAATATATGATCTGTTGGTGTTTTGACTGCAATCCAGAGTAAACAATACCTTTTACTCTGAGACCAAGTATACACATATGTACATATCATTTAAAAGTTTTATAAAACAATACTTACCCTTCTTATGTGCTCCATGCACTCTGATATTTTTGCTTTTGCCCAAATAATGCTGGGCATGACCCACTTATTTTAAGACCCACTAATTGTCAAAACCCATAGTTTGAAAATCACTGCTGTAGGAGAACATGAGGAAATACATTTTATAAACTGTAAAGCACTACTGAGATGTGAGCAGCTGCTACTGAATATCCTCCAGGTTAAGACTTTTATGGGCCTGAGTACAACCTCTCCTTCCTTGGGTATTACAAGGGGTCACATCCACCTAGATTCAGGTAAGAAAGAGTATTCACACTATCATTGAGTCAACTCTCTACTACTCTAATACTTAGAAAGCAAGGCATTAACCAAGTCAAAATCCAAAGAAGGGAAGACAAATAGGAAAGTCAAAAAAGTGCCTTACAGTTTATAAAATACTTTCACACATGATTTCTCTTTTTAAACGTTTCTATTTATTTTTTGAGAGAGGGAAAGGAAGAGGGAGAAAGAGAAACATCAATCTCCTGCCTCCTGCATGCACCCCAACTGGGGATGGAGCTCACAACCTGGGCATATGCCCTGACCGGCAATCAAACCAGTGACCTTTTGGTGCACAGGATGATGCTCAACCAACTGAGCCACAGTGGCCAGGGCACACATGATCTCTTTTAATCATAATAAGACTAGGGAAAAAGTAAAGTTAGCAGGTTGAAACCTGCCCCAAGATGAGAGAGTAAGTGGCAGGGCCAGGTCATCTGATCCTAAGTCCTTCACTCTTGCCACTACAATACCATGCCAGGAAAGCAAAGTGATCAGGATATGAGGTTGATATTGATCTGCCAAAGACATTTTTGTCCTGCCTTTCTCTACAGGGAAAGTGGGCCCTACTGAAGGTGGGGAAGCACCCCCAAATTTTGGTAGTGAGGCATGGCCAGTTGCTCTTAATAGTATAGGACTCAAACCTGGCATTTCAGTTTACCAGTTACTGTTTGACACTGCTTGTGCTCTGAAGTCTTGATGTCTATTGTCTTCAAGTACTATGGCTTTCCATTCCTATGTGTCGAGTCCTGGCGTCGTGCTTAGTGACAGACTCAGGACTCACATCAGATGGAAATTAAGTACTAGGGGTCTGTCACCTCTACCCTTATACTTAGGTAGACTGAAAGGGAATGACAACAGTGGTCACCTTCTGGTAACTAGTGTCTTTGCTCAGCTTCCTCTGGGAAAGCCAATTGGCCTTAGTCTTTGTCTACATGTGCCCATCTCTCTCCAGTATGCCCCCCAATCCCTCACAAAAAAAGATTAAATAAACTAACAAGTACCCATCCCTCTCAGCTCTTGTTCAAACCCCCATATTCCCTTAAGCCTCTCACCTTGTACTCCTGCACCACCTCCTCCAACGGCACCACGCTGTGCTGCTTGTGGCTCCTGGATTCTCGACACACCACACAGATGGCCTCTTTGTCTACCTCACAGAAGAGCTTCAGGGCTTCTTGGTGTTTGGAGCAGACACCCGTATCATTCCCCGGGGTCCCTGGATACGGACAGGGGCACATTTGGCGAATTATCTGGACCATGTTGGCCAGCTGCAAGTTGGGACGAAAGCTACGACTTGTGAAGCTCCTTCGGCACTGGGGGCAGGTGAACAGCCGTGGAGGGGCCG